TGCTTTAGTTTGTTGCAAGATAAATTTAAGGCTAGGAGTCTCTATGGGGGGCGGGGGGCATCCTGAAGATAAAACTAAACAATTTTAACCTCTACCCTGCATTTCCCTCGTAGAAAATGGTTGGATGTTTATTTCATTCATGACAAATTCAAATAATCATGGATTAAATAATTGACTCATTTGAAGTTAGACTAGAGCTAATTTGAGGGAGTAGAAAAGGGTTGGTGATCCTGAGTTGTTGTGCCAGCATGTTGTGCAGCTCTGACAGGCTTCCATATCCAAATAATGGAGCTTATTTTCTTTTTTTCATCTTATAGCCACTTGTTGAGCTGTGCTCTCATGGTTATTTACTGTAAATGGCACATTTAACTGTTAAAGAGTTTGGCAAATCATTAAGGTGGGGAAAGACCACCATCCCACCATATCTTGAAATCTCAGTTCTGATTCAGTGCTCTGTTTCCTGGGGCTCAGTGACAAGCCTGACCCCAATTGTACTCTTCACTCAAATGACCTAACTAATGCAATTTAAGTTATGAGTGGAAAAGTGGAAAACAAGAATTGTTTCTGGTAAAAGGATCAACACATTGTAAGGCAATGTATGCATAACACAAACATAGTTGTCATGTGGCAGCTACAAAACACTGCAAATGGCCTCGTGCATGTGCCCAGCATTTTTATTAAGAAACAAAGTAGAAAGCAAAGAAACACACACACACACACACACACACACACACACACACACACACACAGTGATTTATTGACAGAGTCATTGTAAAGCCCATGGCTGCCAAGTTTGAAAAGATGGCCTTGAGCCATAGGTTTAGCAAAAACTTTTAATTATCTAACAAAATCTTTAATCTACAGTTAGTTTTAGAGACTTTACTATACGGTAAGTGCCCCAGATGCCAGAGAGACATGTCATGTCTTAGCCAAAGGAAACAAATAGAAATGCAATGATAAACTATGAGAGGAGCCAGAGGAATCAAAGGTGGTGAAATATGACTAGAGGGAGAATACTACGAGAATACTAACTGAACAGAAATTAGTCCGCAAATGCACACATTTAGTTCAATACATGCTTTTTAGCATTAGCTTATCATTCAAGCACAGGCAAGGGATACTTGTTACAAATTATTTAACCTCAACCCCTCAATATGAGCAAGAATGATATTGTATCAGATAAAAGTATAGGCAAAATTATGTATCAAAACCTAAAGGCATGTCTACCATGGAGCTAGCTTAACCATGCTGAAGGCAGCAGGGACTCAAGGGGTAGGGATAAGACCCATGACCCATCTGAACAAGACTCTGAGTTTCCACCAAACATCCAGGATCAATGTGAAAAAGAAAAAAAAGAGAGGAAGAAAGAAGAAAAGAAAAAGTCATCCTTGTCTTTTTAAAATTTATTTATTTATTTTTATTAATTACAGTTTACTCACTTTGTATTCCAACTGTAGCCCCCTCCCTCACCCTCCTAATCTCACCTTCCCTCCCTCTTCTTCACCCATGCCCCTCCACCAGTCCACTGATAGGGGAGGTCCTCCTCCACTTCCATCTGATTCTAGTCTATCAGGTCTCATCAGGAGTGACAGCATTGTTTTCCTCTGTGGTCTGGTAAGGCTGCTCCCCCCTTAGGGGGAGGTGATCAAAGACCAGGACAATCAGTTCATGTCAGAGACAGTCCCTGTTCCCATTACTAGGGTACCCATACTAGTCTTTTTAGGTACTACAACAACATTCTAAAACTTATAAGTAAGAAAATTTAATTTTTTTAAAAGTCTGGAGGCCAGAATTCCTCTGTCAGAGTTTGGCATTGTCAGGCAGTGTGAGGACTAACTTCTGGGTAGCAGACTCTTGACCTCACCTTGGATCTTTGCATAAAAGAAATTGCCAGGAGAGACTGGGCTGTATTTTACTGATAGAGTGCTTGTCTAGTGTGCACAAAGCTTTGGGATCAATCCCTCGCATCACAAGTGGGGATCCCTTTCATGACCCACTTCATCCCAAAGACTCTACTTCCTCACACCTTGTCATTGTGAGTTAGGATTTCAGCTTGTGTGCTTTAGGGGACACAAGCATTTGTTTCATGTCAAAATTTCATCTTGACCTGCAATTAATTTTGGTTACCCAGTCTTTTACTTTAATTTGAGTCATTCATATTAGTCAGAGGTTCAGCTACTCCTGTAAGGAGGAGATCTTATCTTGTCAAGAATTTCATCTTGACAGAGTCCTGGACAGAAGTGCAGTCTGATGAGATTAGTTTTGGTAAAGTTAGGTGTTGTGGTCTGTGAGTTTCTTGATATAAGTAAAGACTCCATAGGCTGAAGAAATGGCTCATTGGCTAATACGGCACTACTTTTGCAAAAGACAGGATCTCTATTCCCAAGCTTGCATGTCAGTTGATTCACAACCACCTGTACTTCTTCTAGCCTCAAGAGATCTGGCCTCTCTCTCTTCTGACCTCCTGCAGGCACCAATACTCATGAGCACATACCTTCTTCCTACACTGGCACTTTTTTTTTTTAATTTAAAAGTAAATCTAAAAACAAAGCAGCCTTATGAAGAGTTGGAGACAATCACATAACTATTACATTATAAAATATTTTAATTATTTATAATCATTATATTACATTATATTACAGAATAATTTTTCTCTTTCCAGTCTGAGAATAGATGGAGACATAGACACAGACGACAGAGCTAGAGATAGATATACACAGTTTAGCTTGTCACAGAGAAGGAAACGATAAATTAGTCTCTGCTGAGGACCTCATGTTAAATTACCAGCATATGATTAAAATACCCAAAAAGTAGGCCTACCTGGTATCCATCATCTTACCAATGCTAGTTTTTTCCTCCATAAACGAAAAAGGGGAAAACAATTTTTTAACTTGTGTAACCATTCCAGAAATAAACTTTTCTAAAAAGTCAGCCTCGGAAATACATCTGTCAGGCTTGTGGTTTCTGGGAAGAAAAGATCAGTTCAGCCAACACAGTAAATTTGAGGAACGACTGGTTCCTACACACTGCTTTGTAAATACCTGGGAAATTAGATGGGCAGGAATGGTAACTGTCTCCAAAGTTTCCTTCAGCTACATGCATAATGCTTGATTTGAAGAGCCTAGTATTACATAATTATCCTTCTTGTGTTTTCTTAATACAATGAATGATGTGCCCACTCATAGAGTAAGATGGTATGTCAAGTGTGCTGTGAAGCTTGTGTTTTTTTTTTTTTTCTTCTAGACATCAAATGAAGCAGCTTTGAATCTACAAACAACTGTGACTGCAAACACAGCTGTTTGGGCATTGGCCTAAGCACCACTCTGTGCGTTATGTAACAGCTATTGAGAAATTGTACATTTAACTCAAAAAGCATTCATGAAAGAGAAAACAGTACAAGTTTTCAAAAAAAGGGGGTGGGGAGAGAAGTGGAAGGGGAGAAAAGAATATTTAAAGAACATGAACTTTCCTAGCCCGACTCAAACATGATGAGCCAGGTATTCAAGAACTGCTGAATCTAGGGAAACTATCTCTGTCATAGATCTGGCTTGATTCCTATTTTTTACATATACAAGTCCATTAAAATGTGCATTTATTTGTCTGTTGTTTGTTGCTCATTTTAGCTGGCAGAAAATATGTTGAAACAGAATTGTTATGTCCCAGAAAGATGAAAATGTTTCCCATCTGTTTCATTAGAAAAGTTCACCATTCCCTGAGTTAACCATAATTTTCACATGTATAAAGACTCACTGGGGGACCCCAAACTGAGATTGAGCCTATGTGGAGATCATCTTATGGATATCAAGATAGGTCTGGAAAAGAGGAATAACAAACTGGGGTGCTTTGTCTGAAGTGAGAGTTCAGCCTTTATACTTCGGGGTTTGTAATCATAAGCTGTTTTCCTCTCTATGTTTACAAAATGAGAAACTCAGGTCAAAGTGGAAAGAGAAACAGGTTCTCCAAACCCTTCTAAGTTCCTTCCCCTTGCTAAGTCCCCATTCAGGGGAGGTGGCAGTTTCAGTACAAAGAAGTTATCGCTAATTCTTAATAAGCAGAGCATCCAAAGAATGTTATCTTGTTCCTTCCATATCTTGTGCTGGAGCTTCAATACAGAGAAGCATTGTATTCAAAATGAAAATGCTGCAGTTAAAAATTGTCCTTTACAAAGTTCCCAGATCAAAACATTTAGAATTTAAACTCTTAGGGAGCGGTATTTACATTCTTTCTTTCTACGCTGCTTAGAGTAATGACTCACGAGCCCAGACGCGTTCCGAATCATACATTACTTTCGCTTTAAATGAATTTTCACAGATGACTTCAGCATGATGCTCTTTGAAGGTCTATGAGTGACAATGAAAAGTCCTGAGCAGCTTTCTGTTCCCACCGGGAGGTGGGGGTGAGACAGTTTGAGCATTCTGATATCACATGAGGGTGCTAATTTTTTTTTTTTAAGCTGGGGAAGATAGAGTCTAGAAAGAGGGCATTTCTCCCTGGCAGCACCTTGATCTGCTGGGACAAGGATGGATTTGCTGGTAGCCATGTCCTGCAGACTCATGGTCCTCTGCTCCTCAACTCCTAGTGACAACAGGTCTCTTTAGACTGCTTTTAATTTCAATGTCTTTGGTTCCAATGGTTCCCAGTCTGTTAGAAGGAAAAGTAAAATAGTAGCATAACAAAACTTGAAAAGGCAAAGAAAAAAAAAAAAGGAATAACTAGCTTCCAGTGTCAGGAGCAGCTGCACACACAGCCTTAGCACAGGTTTGACTTGGTAAATTAATTCATCTGTAAATAGTGAACAGTCTCCAGATGGGACTTCAGGGCTGAGGTGCAGGTTCCTTAAGGATTCACATTTAAAGGCAAAGGCTCCCAGCCCTAGGTGTTACAGGGGAACACTGCCCTTTCTGCCCTGCCCTGACTCTGCCCATCCAATCATATCCCAATATGCAAATGACCCTTAGTGCAAGCAAATAAAAGGAGCAAGTGCTCTATCAGAACCAAACTGCTGAGCCTGTGTTACCTGTGTTCCAGGACCCAAACCAGCCATGTCCTCCCCTGCACAGCCTCAAGTCCCTGCTCCCCTGGCCAACTTGAAGATTCAACATACCAAGGTAAGTCACTTGTAAGCAGGGCTTTCCCTGGGGGCCTGGTTAAAGCACAGGCTGATTGAGCCTCTGGAAGAGCTTTTTGCAAACAGGAAGACAAAACTCTTGCAAAGCTAGTGGCCCGATTCAGGGGTGAATTCTAAACCATACCAGAAAACTTCTCATAAGTTTGTCTCTTGACATATGTCCAAGGGAGAGGGATTTGACTCTGTATGAAAGGTTCTTGTGCCAGAGTGCAGTGATCCACAGTGAGCTGTTTTAAGAACTGTGCAGTGGGCACTTAGGGCAAGGGAGACAAACAGAGGAACTTACTGGAAGGAGCCAGGCATGTGGAAACAGCTGGCTTGCTTGTTTATTTTTTTTTCTTTCTTTCCTTCTTTCTTTCTTTCTTTCTTTCTTTCTTTCTTTCTTTCTTTCTTTCTTTCTTTCTTTCTTTCTTTCCTTCCTTCCTTCTTTCTTTCTTTTTTCCTTCCTTCCTTCCTTCCTTCCTTCCTTCCTTCCTTCCTTCTTTCCTTCCTTCCTCTGTTTCCCTTCCTTCCTTTCTTCCTTTCTTCCTCCCTCCCTCTCTCTTTCCCTTCCTTCTTCCCTCATTTTTTCCTGTCTTTTTAAAGGAGAAATAGCACACAGAAACAATATCACATGACCGTGTGTTCAATGACACAGTGTTAAGGTTGGAGGACTTAACTCTGAGCATCACATGAAACTGTTGTCAAAATCCCCAAATTCGCATGAGTTATCTGTTTAAGTTGATGTAGAAACTGTGCTTATTTATTTCTCCAGGAAAGTTTGTTGCTGTTGGAGAACCCATGTGATTGTTAGCTGATAAATATTTAGAGTCTCAAGACTTCAAAATCTTCAGCCAGGGAGAGTGAGGAAATGATCAGGCTGGGGTTTTCCTGAGATACTCTGAATTTATCCTGCCACATAGTTTCATGCCTACTTTTGTCACAGACCCTAGGGTTCAAAAACTAAGAAATAAGTGTCACACACACACACACACACACACACACACACATGCACATGTGCATGCGTGCACACACACACACACACACACACACACACACACGCGCGCGCGCGCGCGCGCGCGTGCGTGCGCGGAAAGCCATTCAAATAAGCTGTGTGGTATGATGCTGAAAGTAAAGAGGTGAACTTTTCAACTCTCAGGGGAGCCATGTTGACTTCTGAATAAGCTAATGAAAACCAAGAGTATTAAAGTAGATGACGAGGAGCCAAGTGCCCACTTTTGTGTATTTATATCCTTATGCATAAACTTGGGTGGCTTTGAAACACTGAAGCCTTTTGCATTTTCCTGAGCACCTGAAGTGAAGGAGCTGCCTGGCTTATGGGCTCTTGCCATGGGCCAAGGTCTGCAGAGAGGAGTGAGTTTTAGTTACAGCTCAGGAGCAGCTAAAAATACACTAAGCCTGATTTCACACATTTTGAAAAAAAAAAGAAAATGCTTATCAATACAGGTATTTTTTTTCCTTTTTCTTCCTTTTCTTTTTCTGTTTTTTTTTTAATTGGTATATGCAAGTTGTAGTGAGTCCATAATCTCCCTCCAACAGCTCGCAGATATCAAAAGTATGTACAAACCACAAATTTCAAACTTTCTCCCTTACTTTTTCTCATTTGAAAGGAATTCCTGTCAATATCTGTACATCCAGTCATTCCTGAAGGTTGGAATCATTTACACTTATTACATTTTAACCACTAAGAAAAGTCTAGTGTCTATGACCCCAGCTAGGAATGGATTTTGGTCGTTGAGATGCCGTGTCACTCTTTACCTCACTTGTGTTTTTATGAACTTTGCTGAGCTTTCGTGTTTGTGTGTATGTAAATCTTCGAAGAAGTCTTTAATGTTAACTATTTTCTCACTGAGTAGAGTTTAATTTATTACTTCTTCTGGAAGCATGCAAATGAAAGTACTAGAAAAATGAGTTGTTCCTTTAAGTCCCATACAAGCACAGGGCCAGTAATCCCTTAACACAGACAGATGTTTCCAGATTGAAGCCTCTTCATTGCAGAGACATTGCATAAAGAGGAAATACTAGGCAGGATGATGGAGCTAATTATTTAAGAGGCAAGAATGTGTTTGTGTGGTGTTCAAGGACCTCTCTGGTTAATAATAAGCAATGCCACTCACTGAATTTTGATTGTCTGTGTATCTTCTATATAAGCCTTCTCTACTCAGTAAGCGTTATATTGTTTGATGTGCTGGCTCCAGCATTTTCACACTTGGGAGGACACCAGTTATGTATGCAATTAAATCTCAATAGGAGCTTTCTCTATGACTGTGCACGTTCCTTTTACTGGGTCCCAGTGAAGAATTTTGTTAGGTTTGCACTCTTAGGTAGGTTGAGAGCAGTGGCTGTTAACTCAGCTCCTGGTTGCAAACCACAAAAGGCAGCGTTTAGGAGGATTTGTCCAATTACCTTTCCTGACCAGTGTCTTGAATTATGAATTATTTTCCCTAGTGCTTTTTTATTTCTTTATTTCCTAAAGCAACCTGTTGTTTCATGCCAGTGGCCTAGAAAACAATAAGCAACTAATAACAAAAGTGAAAAGAGTATCAACAATAGTCAACCAGGTGCATGATTTTAACCTCCAGAGTGTTTCTCCTAAGCAAACAACTCATTAATGCAACTTTTTAGAACTTAGCCTCTAATTTGATTCCACTTTGATACAGTAAATGAAGTTTAAAGTTTATGAACTATCTTGTATGGAGGCCCCAGTCACATCCTTGTCTTCATTACCCACATAGGAGTCGTGAGTAAATGCCACATGTGACCTCCATTACTGCTACTGAGAGTATGCAGGAGGAACTCCTTTGAAAGTTACAGGAATCGTTGTCAACTCTGTTATCAACACCTGCCTCTGCTTTCTTATATAGTATTTGCATATATGTATATATCTTATATATATATCCTATGTAAGATATATGTATCTGCCTCTGATATAAGATAAAAGTGTAAACAGTCTTCCCATTTAATTAATAAGAAGCACTTGAGAGTTTTTAAGGTTTACCCAGACTTTCAGAATTTTGAAATTTTTTTCTCTCATGGGATATTTTCACTCCAATTTTTCTTTCTTATTTCACTCTCCTTCCTTTAATAATAGATAAATAGGAAATTCAAGAAGTCAAATATTTTCACATAGGGTTCAGTCTTCATTGACACTTAGCATAATTGTTGAATTTAACTTCATAACTTATAGTTCTTTCATGCTCAGAAGATATTTTTATCTCCTAGTGATATGTCATATGCACAGAAAATAATTACAACCAAAAGGTTTTACAATAATTTCATTTACTTTTTCACTGCAGCTCTATTGGAAGTTCTGATTTCTTTTATATAGACGAAGAAACTAAAGGGCTGAGTAACATAAACGTACACAGCTTGTAAGCAACAAGTCTAGACCTTGAATGCTGGCTGCCTGCCCCCTCATGCTAACGTGGCCACTATGGTGACTTTAGGACATACAATTTACATGCTGTGCAATTTTCACTTTGACTTTTGCCTGTCCATTCCTGAGTCCTGGAGGATGGTAACCAAACTTTTCTGGCTGCTTCTCTCGGGCCATAGGAAGATACTGGTCACTAGTTTTGAGAGAAAGGAGACAAGAGAGAGGGCAGACAGGAGAAGCTTTGTTCACTAGACTGAAACAAAAGGTCTAGCTTGGGAGAGACTGAGGAAGAAGCTGAGACATAGGTGCACACTTCCAATCTGCACTGCATTACTTCAAGCCCTATGGATGAAAGTTTAGTTACAGCAGGGGATTTTGTTCTTAGATGTCTGGTTTCATTAATCTCTCTCTCTCTCTCTGTCTGTGTCTCTGATTCTCTGTCCCTCTGTTCTCCTTTCTCTCTGTGCACATGAGTTTGAGTGTGTGTTTGCACACACACATGAGCATCTACCTCTGTACAAAAAACTTATGAATGATTGACTTTTCTGTGCTAAGCACACGTTGAAGTATTGAGATATTTAGTTTCTCCAACCTTTTTTTCTTTTTTTATTATCTCTTTTAAAATTCTTACAATTTACAAATTCAGGCCACTTAATGTTTCAAGTGCCTCCTCCCTGGTTAACTTAATTTTTCCCATTTTATCACCCTTTCTTCAATTTCCCCCTTTCCTTTGTTTAATAAATTTGTTGTTTGACAAATTTGTTGTTTGACTGTTCCATGAAAAGTCAGATGTTAGAATGTTGATATGACTATTGACTCCAGAAATCATATTCTTAATGGATTTATAGGGCAGCAAACAAGCAGCTAGAATATATTAAATAGAGAATTGTGGAATATGCTTAAAGGATTAATTCAGAAAGCTGGAAGGATATGTCAAAGGAATAAAAATGGAACAGGATATAGTGTGGGCTTTAAGAATGCCTTCCTGGACCACACGGGCTGATGGAGACTGGGGAAACTTTGAAGATGCTTAAAGGAGGGAAGAACTATCCTTGAGATAAAGCTGGCTGTGCTATGGTTGCCTTTATTTGTAGAAATCTTTTTCTAAGTTCTAACTAAAACTACCATTATTTTCTCAGGGCTTGGAAGCAATTGAATAAATAGCTGAATTTCTGTGAGATGTTTAATTACAATTAATGTGAGCTGTTTAATTACAAAGACCTGGATTCAATGTCCAGAGTTCATACTTACATCATACCCTAACCTTGGCCAAGCTTCTAATCTACTTGGATTTAAGTTGTTTTTTTTTTTTTTTCTATCTATGAATTAGCGTTTAATAAAGATGCTACCTGGAAAAGCGGCTATAAGGATTAAGTGAGTAGTTTACGGAAAGAAATGCCTAACACTTACTATTTGGTACCTTCCTAAAGCCTAGACTCCTGAAATTGCTCAGTTTTCAATGCGAGTGAAATTTTTATCTTTTTACTTAATACAGTGTGAACCTCATTTCAACTGTTTACCTCATTTGAGATTAATAAATAACTAGTAGAAAAGAATGAGAAAATGTTACTAATGTCCTGTTTCTATGGTTGGGAAGCTAAGTTCAGAGAACATGGTGACTTATTTAAGACTATCCAGCTCTTAAGATACAAAACAAAAATATAAAGATTATGGATTCTACCATTTCAGATGGCATGTTTCCATATTGTGTCCTATTCTTCCTGACTACTAAAGACAATGGTATTACAATCTTATTCAAAAAAAATCTTAAACACAAATCCCAAAGTAAATCACACATACCGTTTAAAAGTTACTGTCTTCATTTCTTAAAGATTACTTTTCCAGCATAGGCTATAGCGGTTAAATGTTTCTCTTACTCCTTTCCAGAAGGAGCGGACTATTTGAGAAATGTTTAGAGAATGTGGGGGACCCATGTGAAGAGCAATCCAACCTGATTTAATGCCTCTTCTCTACAATGATGTTTTCTTTAAAGGGAAGAGGTTCTGATTACTATTAAAGAGGAAATATACACAGAAATTTCTTGAGACTTCTATAGATTAATTCTAATTCAGGACAAGTAAGACGCACAGATGTGGTTTTGTTATCTGCTGGGAGTAGTGGTGTTACACCTCAGATAAATGTAGCAACATCTTTTCTCCTTGTCTGAAAGGGATTTAAAACAAGGGCAAGTGGCTATGCAGTTACATTACTAGTTGAGGAAAATGTTAAGTGGAAATATCAGGAAGTCTTCTAATTGATTTTGGTCAAGCTCACTTTGTTTCCACACTGTATTTAACTGCAGATAGCTTTCAACCATATGTTATTTCCTGTTTTATTTCCTTTCCCCTTTTCAATTTATAATGACAACATTTTGATTTGATGGCTTGGGGCTTAGGTTAAAAGTAGTAATGAGAAATCTGCCCCTTTTTAATGTTTAAAACACCACTTGGCCTGTCCTAGCCACCTATTGCTTACGCCACCTTATCGTTCATCTTCTTTCAGCCATTTCCTATATCCTTGTTACATCTTCAGATTGCTAAAGATGAGAAAATGTACACTTGTGAAATCTGTCATTCCATACATGTTGATATCACCGCCCATTGGTCTCCAAGCTGTGTCCCTGGCTTTCAGATTTGCCAACACACACAGGTGATAAGGAGTGAGGACAGACTTTAGCATTTCTCTCCCTTAGACTATCTTAAAATACTTTGTACTTCAAAATTTAATTTTTATGCATTTTCAGCAACTAAGAAAATAATGACTTCCATTACAAGGACCTTTAGCTGATAGCTGGGTTGCTGTTGTGTAGAGATAATCTGCATTTAAGGCACTTTGTTGGAGGAAGCTGAGTGCTAAGAGGCCACCAAATCTCTTATTAACAGATAAAAAAAAATATTTTCCATGTATATTAATAAAACCTATTTTAGTATGAGTCAGAAATATTTTGAATAAATATCTTATGTAGTAAAAGGAGAAAGATGTATATGATCTAAAGAAAAAGCAGAGTGTGGAAAATTTTTCTATTTACCAGATACATTTTTTTAAAACAATTAAGAGTTGGGACATTAAAGTATGCCTGAAAAACAGGAAGGTAGTATGTACCTCATTTTTAATTTGAGATATGAAAGGACAGAAGGCAGACATCAAATTTAAGTTCCCTAAAAAACTCTTATTGATGGTTTCATCAGAATGAAACAATAATAAAATATAAAACCTTGAATTCCAAGATCACAAAGGTCAGCTTTAAAATTGCACTGGTTTCTGCAACTTAGAGATAATACCTATCGTATGTATTACCTTAAAGGACTCCGGGTGTATTCATACTGTGGAGTATTGGGGTGGGACAGGCATCACTTTCACTTGTCTATCCAATGGCAATCCCACCAGGCTCCTAATGGATCATTCTAAACCTACGGATACACCAATGATCCCTATTAAATTCACATTTCAAATAAATAAACAAATAAAATAAAGTAAGAGCTATGTGTGTGAAAGGGTGTACAGAGAGCTGGGGAGGATTAATAGATCACACCAATGATCCCTATTAAATTCACATTTCAAATAAATAAACAAATAAAATAAAGTAAGAGCCATGTGTGTGAAAGGGTGTACAGAGAGCTGGGGAGGATTAATAGAAATGGAAAATGATTAGAGAAGGGAGGAGCTGCGCTAACCAGGATACACTTTGTACTTGTGTGAAATCAGCCAAGAAAACAGCTCAATAAAAAAAAAAAAAAAAAAAAAAAAAAATAAGGTGACCGTTCAGGATCTGGTTATATAAAACTAAACCAAACAAACACTAGGCTCACAGCTTTCTTTGTTATTAGAGGTTAACTCCGAATAATGCAGAGCCGCGGCTGCTCGCAGGATTGTCCACACCCTGTCTCGGCGGTTAACTGAAGCCTGCCACATAAAGCTTTGATAATTCTAGTTTGACCCGTTTCTGAAGCGTCTACTACCTTTAACGTAAAGCAGCAGGTACAGTTTAGGTGCATGAATTCTAATGTCAAAATGGCATACATGTATCATAATGGCTCTTTTACCAAAAGAGATCATGGGCCAGAAGTCATGTACGGCAGCAACACCAATAAGACCTCATAGAGGGAAGCATGCGAGCATCCAGGCAGACGCTAGATGGTCTCACAACAGCATAACAAAATGCATTGAGTTTAGTATGGGACTTGTCTTCTATTTCTAAGTGAAATTACAATTTTCAAAAATGGGGGATGGAACTATGAATGTATCTACATATTACAAGACATTGATTTCTTGGTCCATCAATGAAAAATCAGAGGTACAATGCAATTCTGTGGCAGAAATAAGGCAGAATTATTGAGAGTGAGTGGATTTTATGCTAATTTTAAGGCTGATTATAATGTCTGTCTGGTTTCAATCTTAGAGTTTGTGCATAGCAAACTTTTAACACAGAGGAGACCATACTAATTTTGTAGTAGGAGATTAATGGTTTCTTTGGAACAAGTGAAATTACATTCAGTTGGAGACACTAGTGAGCAAGTCAAAATGTCAAAATATGGTGCTGCTAAAATTGGTCTGAAGTATGACAATAAAATGCTGAGGCTCCAGCGGAGAAACTTATGACAGAATGTGAAGCAGAGGAGGACCTGGTTACTGCAACAGGGAATGGGGTAGTTTGTGGGTTGTGCTCAGGGACTTTGGGACCAAAAGTCAGAATGAGAATCCACCAGTTATACTTTTGTTTTTACTCTAGGATGCGCAAATGTGTGTGTGTGTCTATTACATGATAATGAAACATAGGATGGGCATTTTGAGACACAGATAGACATGCAAGATGTAGTTGCCGTACAGTCTTTTAAAAAGTCCTCAAACCTAAGGCGTGTTTAAGTGCTCTTACCTGCTCTCTCCGAATCTCCACAGATCTTCATAAACAACGAATGGCACGCCTCAGTGAGTGGGAAGAAATTTCCCGTCCTCAACCCTGCAACCGAGGAGGTCATCTGCCACGTGGAAGAAGGGGACAAGGTAAGTCTCCCAGCATTCCCAGGTCCACTTTACAGCAGGAGCCTTGGTTTCTCACCGTTCTGAGCTCAAATTCGTAAGATCACAAGATCAAGGAAGGGCATGCCAACATGGCTGCTCCTTCAGTTGGGTTAATGTTGTATTGTCCTTGGCATAAGAAAAAACAATGGCGAGTCACGTAATAGTCATCAACCGGTGCCTTGGGTGAGGTGCTGGTTCTTTTTTCAAGCTAGTTTTTTTTTCATGACTATTCCCCCACCCCCTTGGAAAAGTATCTGTGTTTATTGCACAAACTCCATAGGAAGTAATTTATCTCAGGATAAAAAGAAGAGGCATCTTTTACTAATTTACAGTTGTTCTTTTACATTTGCCAAGTGAAGCCAAAAGCTGATATAGGACTTTTAGAACAAAGTATTATCAAATTATTTTAGAGAAATGCGTTGATTTGGGAATAAGGAGGCGGCTCAATGTATAAGATACTTAAGTTTGAGGGTCTGGTTTCAGAACCCTACCACCCACACAAAAGTCATTTATTTGTAATATCCACTAGCTTATATATAATAGTCAACAAATATGAATTGGATGAATAATTCAATTTCTATTTTAATTAAAAGCTTATCTTTATATTGAGAGAATTCTAATACTACACCTTAAACAACTATTATACTAATGAAATAATGAACATTTAAAATTAATATGCTCTTTAGCAAACAGTTCAGCATTATAATAACTGAATCCAAATTGAAGCTCTTACTAATCAATACTATTTTGAATTATCATACTTAATATTTGGGTATAATTATAGTTGAACAACATTTTGAAGAATAAGTTAGAAGGAAGTATATAATTTTAAAGAAGAAGAACTTTCAAAAACGAACAAATTCAGGAATGAGATTTCATATCGAAGTTGTCGGAGACCAGCTTCGACATTTAACTGGGGGCAAAATGAGGCAGAGAGTAGATCCGCGACTGCTGCCTGGCGGCCCGAGACATTTTTTGAGGGTAATTCTCCCGGGCTGGAACTGATGTCTGCTGGAGGCAGACCAGTGCCGACCGCTTCCTGCTACCATGTAAGCCGGAAGCCAGGTCTAGGACTGTTGGCTTCTAGCGGGAGCTTATAGCTTCTATGGTAAGCGGGAGCTTCCACTGATTGTGGCAAGCATCTAAGAAGAAAACGAAAGGAGATAAAAAGATCACCGCCCCCGCCACACACACACTTGATGATGAGAAAAGACAGACTCCACCAGGTAGGTTCCAATAAGCTTCTTTAACTTATTTTCATTTTTCTTCTCTTTCTGACTTTTTCTACTTTACACATCCATCTGTACATACATACATACATGCATACATATATTCATACACATTCACATATTAGGCAGACAGAGCAAACTCCAGAGAGCGACTCCAACCCAACCTTACACACATCTGTATACACATACATTCATCTTAGTGGATGGAAAAATATTCCAATAACCTTGCACATACACACACATCTTGGTGGGGGGAACAAACTCCAAATTGCAAGTTCCAAATCACTCTACATCTATACACCTTGGTCGATGGAAAAAAACACTCCAAAAAACAATTTCCAAACCATGCTTTCACTCTTTTCCCCACAGCTTATATATATATATATATATCAGTAAAATCTTTCAAGCAGAAAAAAAAATCACAATGTGGTTACATTCTTTTTTTCTTAAACTAAATGATTATGAGTACATGTAAGAAAAACATGTTCCCCAATACCCTTACTTTATCAAATGCTTTATGTATTATGAGCAAAAAACAAATATGAAAAACAAATCATTCCTAAGAACCCATGTATACTTGTAACTTAACAACTTGTTATAAATTAACAAGGTGAGCAAGCAAGGTAATTTCTCAGCTAGCTTTTCTTTGAGGGCAGGCTGTAGTTTGCAGTTACAAAGAATCAAGTATCGTAAAAGGTAATCTTATAAAAATCCTAAAATGATAACAAACTTTGATATAGGAAAACAATCTGCCATATCTGCTTTAAAATGTTAAGGTGAGCATCTACTCATTAATACTATTTTTTTAAGTCATTTCGGAAGCTGAGGGCTAAAACAAGAAGGAAATCAATTGTTGTCTCATGCACCCGACCTGCTTGAGAGCATCACATCAGCCACTGCTACATTTGGTTACAACCTTAAAATGTCCCTGGATTTATTATTAAGAGTGGAATTTTCTGAACTTCAGATTGTTCTCTAAGATTTTCTACATCGGAGCCACTAGCAAAACATCTTCACTTAACCTTTCTAAATAACCTGTTTTTCCTATGATTTTTTTTTTTTTATGTCAGAGCCACTAGCAAAAACATCTTTATCTAACCGTGCTAAACAATCTCTTTTTTCTAATTCTTTATAAGGGTAGTGGTCATTGCTAACAATCTACATCTGTAGGTTCTATTTAATGGTGGTGACTAAATCATTAATCTGCTCCAGCAACAGTGCCTGAAAGAGATCAAGCATTGCTATTTGTAGGGGCCAGGGCTACTGCTCAGTGAGGGGCTGGAAGCTCCCTTAGTGTTTTCACACAACTCATATAGTCTGAGGAATGTGGTGACTATAAGGGTAACAAGCAGGTCTATACTCATAACATCATGAAGTCCTCAGATCACGTAGTTCTTGGGGTTATGCCTCTCCAAGACAAACTCAGCGTGACTGTGGTAACTGGTGAGTTGCATTCCATGAGTTCTAGAGCTGTTTTGCTGTTGTTCCTGAGATGAAGTTACATTATATCATTGATTATAGTCAAATATGATAATGTTTCCAATACTTTTTCATTTATCCAAAAGATATTTGTATATACACTGAGATTAATATAAATATTATTCCCAAAGTTACTTATTTATTTGCTATACAAAGTTTTCAAACAGAAAACATGATGTAAACTTGCATCAACTACAGAAAAATGTTTGATCAGTAGTCTCTATTCTAGTAAACCTAGTAATTATAGGCAAGAAATTTTCTCTTAGGGAAGTGCTGACATAGAAAAACTTACATGCAGAAAGATGTTAATTATGACATAATTAAAAATAGAGAAAAGAAGATTTGGAATCACATACTTACTAAATTGATGATACAATGTCTCATACCATTTTTGTTTTTAATATTATCACTATAAATTATCTTACTGTCTTATGTGACACTTTTGACAAAACTAAGTAAAATAATTTAAAAGATTTGGAAAAAAGAGAATGCTAAACTTAGTGACCGATGTGTAGAAGCCCAGAGCAGGTGAGGCAGGGATGTGGATCCATGGGGCTTACTGGCCACCTGATCTTGTCAGCTGGTGAGCACCAGATATAATGGGACACTATTTTTCAAAGTACATGATGAAGAGACACTGAAGAAGACACCAGACATCCACATCTGGGTGCTACACGAATATATACACCAAAACACCAACACCCACAGGGACCTTCCAGACACAACCATTGACTCAGTATTTATCAGTCCTGCTCAATTTGAGCGAAAGCATGACTCCGACTGATTATCTAATTAAAGATTGTTACACTGTGGCTAATAACGGGGAAAGGAAGATTCTATTTCCTAACTAAATTTACAGATGAGAACAAAGTGGAAGAATAGCAAGGCTGAATAATTTACCCAAGCTGACACTGTTAATAGCTTGCAAAATCAGCATCAGTGCCCTGCCAAAAGCCAAAGTGTGTGTTCAGCAGGATTAGTTTGATGGCGGGACAACTGTTCCACTGTGTTGTTATTCATTATAACAGTAACAATGAAGCGCTAAAATGCTGAACACTGATGAGAACCAGAAAGCCTTCAGAATCTTTATCTGGACACATTATGTAAAAGTATGTGTGCCTTCAAGTCTACTTTAAAAGAAAATTCCCCACTGGTAACCATTGAAAAAAAATTAAGATTTAAATCTCTGTAATATAAGATAAAAATTATTATTAATAATAATATACTGGAAGATGAAATCTGCAAACCTGAGGATTATATCATTCTTGACACTGGGCTTCAGCTAAATGGCAATCACATGACCCTGTCACTTTCCACCCTTTATCAGCTCAGCCTCATTCCATGCAATCACAAATATTAAGATATTTATGGAGCCACACAGGCATATTTCAGATAGCCGTGGATCTTAGGTTTACAACATTTGCAGAGTTTGTGGAATCTAAAGGTTCAGATTACAGTAAGATAGGCACAAAGTTAGACAAGGGCTTTCAAAGACCAAGCCTCAGAGTGTAGTAGGGAATTAAAGATTAAGAAATAAATAGAGAATGAGGAGATCCTCTGTGGGCTGCTTTCTGTGTCCGTTTTCTACACATACGAAAGATTTCACACACAGGAATGTCTTCCCTCTGCTTCTCTTTGATTCAGAGGGAAAGTCCATCGTAAGGGACCTTCATAATGCTACATTTGTTTATGGCCTCATACCCAGACTACCTCATCAACAGACTTTCAACTTCCGGTCTGTGTCCTACTTTCTCTCAGACACAGCTTGATGCCTTATCACTGTTTATGGACATGGCCCCAGTGTGATCTTCTAAAACACATCCTGGCAAGCCACCCAAAGTGAGAGATCATGCATTCCACATTTATGTCACCTTCTTTTACCTCCTATTTCAGTTCATGTAAAAAAAGAAAAGAACAATCTTAGATGGGTAAAGAAAATATATAAAGGTCAAGTCAGAGAAAACCCCTTCATTTATGGATCAATAATGCATCTTCTTTTATATCATCAGATGTCAGTAAACTATGCACATCAAGGAAACTTCTATTCCAACAAGCTTTGAAATTTTATATAACACACACTGTTTATATTGGGAACCTAGTATTTATTCACCTAGTTACTGACATAGCACAGTGATTTTGAGAATTGGTTTGCATAACAATTTCTAGAAAGCCTGTAAAGTACCGATTCCCTATCTTCCCAGAATACTTTTCCACATTAGAATGAGCCTGGGAACTGGCATTCCATAATATTTTTCAGATAATGCTAGTGTTATT